AAATACAACAAAGTATAACGTTTACATGTAGCGCGTCAATTCTGCATGTTATGCAAGACTCTCTCCGTCTTTCTTTGCGTGTGAGAAAAAAGCAAAGCGACGGCGAGTCATGCGCCTTCACACTAGAGTTTACGGTGCGTCAAATACAGGTACGCTGCGCATCCATTCAGACGAACTGAAAAATAGCACAGATCGCTTGACGGAGAGTGAAATTCTGAAGCGCTCGGTCAGAGTGTTCGGCGAGTGAAAATATATCTGTGCTAAGCTTATACTTAGCCTCCAACTCACACACTGGCGAGTAAAATCTGAGAATTTATTAGCCAGTGGCTAATATTAGACATCATTTAGTCGCCCAGAGTGAAGATTTAGTCGCATATGCAAGTGATTTACTCGCAATGTAAAGGGTTGATACTAATACTACTACTACTACTAATAATAATAATTTTAAAAAGAAAAAGCGGTGTTTTACCATAACTGGTTTAGTCAGTGTGACTGTAAAGAGGAAAGATATGCGTGTTTTCTGGAGCACAGAACCATTTAACCTAGCTCATTCTTTAGGGATCTATTACTAAGGACAGCGGAAGGTTACGTGTAAATGGGCTACGTGTGGAGAGGGGAATTTAGCTCAAAAAGGAACAGTCAAAAAAGGAGGCCATTAACATTCAAAAGCAAAAGATGCTACGACATACCCTTGCTGACATAAAAGAGAAAAACTGTTCCCTGAGGTTCTATATAAAAGTCATAGAAAAAGGCTTTGAAGGAGAGGAGGTGGTTCAAGACCTGTATTTAGGCGCAGAGGGGCTGCAAAGGTCAGAAGAAGCTGCACGAATTTTAACAAACCCGTTCGTGTGCACCAGAAAGAGGCACCTTCCAGAATTTCTGCCAATGTGCATCCGCCTCCACACTCTCTCTTTTCATTATCTTTATTATACATCTCCAATTTCACAAACACATCAGTATTCAAAACCGTCATCTGGACCCCGGGGACGCCACAGGAAGCGCAGCAGAACATCAAAGCGCTACCTGCGCCAGCAAATCCATCATCATAGTCAAAGAGGGGCATTCCTTTCTGAGCAGAGTCCAACATGCGACGGGAGCAGCAGGAATGGACGCTCTATCAATCACACAGCCACCCTCATCTCCTGCACAGTCCAAAGGTGAGCGGACATCAACGGCCACGCATCTGATTACAAACCACAGACCGCTGCAGATAACGGCCACAGACACATGCTCGGACAAAACAAAGGAGCAGTGCAGCTGCGAAGCCACATCGGCCTGTGAATTAAAACCATGGAGGACACATTCCAAGGATACTCTGAATCTTGTCTAAAATAAACAGAGACGAGGTTCAAACCGTCACACAAGGCTCCACTGTTGTGGAACACCTCGTCCTCGCAAAGATCTCATTCGCATAAATTGCGTATTTTAAAGTTAACCGACACGCAAGGAGTTACCGTGCAAATACCCGCTACATATACGAGCCCCGTGTCCAAACAATCTGAAACATTTCACAGTTCTCTGCGATTCATGTTTATTAATTGAACTTCAAAGATAAATCAGACAGCACAGCAGCGTTTTTTCCCTCCGATTATGGAGTATTTGCAATCCGCAGTGGAGGGAGTGCACGGCATACCTGATTGTTTCGCACGTTTCGTGTAAAAATAGCCAAATTCCACAGCTGCTACTTCGACTTCCTTCAGTTAATAAGAGCCAGGTGCACCCTTCAGAATAAACAGGCATGTTCAAATATTTTCACAGGCTGCGGAGACAGAGTACACTTCAATGTCAGCTATTCATCGCATTTCTACGCAGGCAGAGCAAGGCAGGCTTGCTATGATCTGTGCCAAGGTTTCAGACAATTCATCTGTACTCTCTCTGTGGGGACTTGAAACAAAGGCCTATGGGTACAAGGCCCTTCAACAAACCTTGTTAATAATCCACCCACACCCTTTTACAGAGCTAGCATTGCTTTTCTTTCGATTGTTTGGTATACATGTGAACCATTTTGAGAGCTGAAATCTCTGTCTTCTCAAAATGGCAGGGGCTGAAACGGCTTCAGTGCCGAATTAATCATCTTGCTTGAGCGTGCAAGTTTGAAGTTAGAGCACAGATAAGGGCTTGACTTTACACACTAAGATGAGGAGGAGAGAATATGAAGGAAATGTGTAATGCAACTGCAGCTGAAATCTCTGTCTTCTCAAAATGGCAGGGGCTGGAACGGCTTCAGTGCCGAATTAATCATCTTGCTTGAGCGTGCAAGTTTGAAGTTAGAGCACAGGTAAGGGCTTGACTTTACACACTGGATGAGGTGAGGAGGAGAGAATATGAAGGAAATGTGTAATGCAACTGCAAGGCAAAAAAAAGATCTCAAAACTCTACAGGGCTCAACAAGGAGAGTGGTTTGGTGGACCGCTGAGTTTTGGGTCAGCTGATGTAACACTGCACTGATACTAAAGCTTACATTGGTTGATTGTATACATGTATTGCGCGAACTGAAATATCTACCCATAACGTTATCTATAAGGTAATGTTATCTAGCTAATATAAGCCAGGTTTTATCTGCATATTTTATGTGAGTTTAAGGAAATGCTGGATGGAAACACCAAGATAAATAAATTCTCTAATGTGCATAAAGCTTTGCTTGTGAATGAATGAATAAATAACAGTTAATTTATTTATTCACTCTGTAAGATGGCATGCACATAAACTATGGTGCTTTATTATTTATGTTTTTATGACATTCAGATTTTTTAACCTGAATGGAAACTACAGATATAGATGAGTTTAAAAAAAAAAAAAACTGCAAGAATGATTTGTGATAGCTTTGGAAGCATTGGTTAAAATGGATTAAAAAAAAGAAATCATTAATCATTATATGCCATTGCTGCCACAGTGTTACATTATACTTGTATAATTCCAGATCCAGATTTTATTGCCATTTATACACTTAAATTTAATGGTTTAAAAATGGTACACTACTGTTCAAAAGTTTAGAATCAGCAAGATATTTTTTTCCAAGTTATATTTATGGGCTTTTATGTCTTTATTGTGAGAGGACAGTGGAAAGCTGACAGGAAAGCACTGGGAGGAGAGAAGGGAGCAGGATCGGCAAAGGACCTCAAGGCGGGATTCGAACTCGGATCGCCGTGAGCGCAGTTGCGCTATATGTCAACGCACTAACCACAAGGCTACACAGTAAGATTTTTAAAAATAAATTAATACTTTTATCATCAAGGACACAAATTGATCAAAAGTGACAGTAAATACATTTATAAAGTTACAAAATATTTATATTTCAAATAAATGCTGTTCTTTTGAACTTTCTATTTATCAAGAATCCTGAAGAAAATGTATCACTGTTTCCACAAAAATATTAGCCTAATCAGTTTCTCTAATGTCTCTCTAGCTCTTATTAACACTGACAAGAAATGTTTTTGAGCAGCAAATCAGCATACTAGAATGATTTCTGAAGGATCATGTGACACTGAAGACTGGATTAATGATGCTGAAAATTCGGATTTGCCATCACAGGAATAAATTGCATGTTAAAATATATTCAAATTTAAAAAAAAAAAATTTTTTTTTAAATGGTAATATTATACTATTTTTACTGTATTTTGATCAAAATCTTTTGTGATTTGAACTACGGTACTAACTAGTACAGACAAAAATTTTGAGCCCTTATAAGCTACTTCAAGCCAAGGCTCTGTATCTAAAGACAGCAATACAATATAATATACATAGCACTGTTATACAAAGAACTGCAGCACTAATATATATATATCTTAAGCTCTGTCAAATCTCTTAGATATTGACTATTGACCGGCACAAGCTATTTCAAGAAAGGAATTGGTTACAATTACGTTGCAGCAGAGCGGCTGTCAGATGTGGCCTATTCTACATTAGGATTGCAGGGACGAAATTGATTTTTTATTGTCTTTTCTACAGTCGTTGCACACCATTCACACAAATCTAGTTTATTGACTTCAAAAGAAAGAGAGAGAGGGTAATCCATCGTAGACATCAGACATGACTGCATATTACACATCACCGGCCGACAGCCTTAACCAGCCACACACACTCGCTTATCAAAAACAATACTGCACCTTTATCTGCTCAAGCACAGTCCACAGCACATGCTCGTACTTCCAATACCAAGTCGATTTCCATTAACTTCAAATATAAAGCCAGCTAAAAGTCCCTGTGGGTCATATAGTGGACGGTGTGTTTTTTCCATTAGCCCGTCCACCCGGTCCTGCCTGTCACCCAGACCTCTGACTACAGCCTTTGTCTGAGTTCACTGATCTGCCTACAAACCTAATCGTTAAACCCAATACGTTCAGGCTGCCTCGTGCAAATGCAGGTCTCACTTCGTTTTAAGCACTGACATGCTGCGATGTTTCTCCCCATTTCTCGCAGGACACATATGGCGCTTTTCCACTGCGTGGTACAACTCGGCACGGCTCGGCTCGGTTTGCGTTTCCACTGCAGATTAGTATCGCTTTAGAGTGGGCGGGATTATTCACATGTCTTTATAGTTGTGCCGCCTCTACTGCCGCGACTCCTGAAAAAGTTTTTCATTCCGCGTCGCCCCATCAAGCTCTCGCTGGATCCGCTCCTCTGCTATCAACGAGAGGACCGTCTGTACTTCCTCAACAGACAACGAAACAGACACTTTTTGGTTGTTAAAAAAAGGTGCGCTCGTTCAAAACAGTTGCGTTCGATCCTTCGCTGGCTGTGCTGATTTAAATCTAGCGGTTCTTTTGTGTTTGTGTCGCAAGTTCAGTGACACAGGTAGTGACGATTCTCTCCGGCCAATCAGTGATCAGAAGAGTTTAACGTCACGTTTTGGTAACGGTACGGTTCACTTGGAACCTCAACCGAGGTGGTACTAAAAAAAGTACCAGGTACTGTACCCAGTGGAAAACCCCCCAAAAGTGAACCGTACCGTGCCGTACCATGCAGTGGAAAAGCGCCAATAGAAAGGCTGCGATTCTTACCTTCATGAGGGTGAGAGGCCCAGAGCTGGGCCATTTGCAGGCTGGCTGAGTTTGGGGCTCGGAAGGCTGGATCCGACAACCCGTGAGCACTGGAGGCGCTGGCGTATCCGCCGAGGAATGGGCTAGAGGCACCTGGGAAGGCATCACCTGCGAAAGAGAGGATCAAACGTTTGCTTAATGAAGTGACAGAATAAAATGAGGCCGCAAAAAGTCCGTAAGCGCTGTCATTTGATATGATGACATTCCACTCAGGAGAATAGCCTTGGCAAAAGTGGAATGATTAGTCTGTGAAGCTCTGCGGTTTTCTTTTGAAATTCAGGAACCGCAAACCTGTTTTTATTGCCAGACGGCCTTTTAATTCCCTTCAAAAGAAGAATGTTTACCGAGAGGCACAGAAAGACCACAAACACGAATTGCTTTTGCTTGTAAACAAATGTCATGAATAATTATTACTCATCCTAAATGTTATGTTAACTGTCATTACAATAGCCACCAGATGTGCAGCTTCAAAAGGGGGAACGTCTAAATAAAAGTGTGTTTTCATTTTGCCAGCTTTGACATCGGAGCGAGAGACGACGCAGAGACACGTATGGTATTTGGTCTGCTGCCTCCTCAGAGCTTTTAAAGTCGAACAGATAAAAACAACAGTGATAGCACATGCTGTTTCTCCACCGGGATCTGCAGAAACATTTACAAATGTTTGTTGGGTCTGTAACGACTCTGGACAGGTCACTAAAAATCCACGGGAACGGATACATGGTTAACGTTTCACCCTAGTGCGGGACATTGCTTGCATTTAAATCAACAAATTAAACCTTCCGGTCCATCCATACGCCACACTATCTATTCAAGCATTATGTATAAACAGAGACAACCGTGGAAATTAATGAGCCCTTCCCCCAATTCCTCCGATACAACTGCCTTCGTTCCCACATGCCTTTCCTCAATCCAGCGTGAGAGGAGCACTTCACACTTATTACTCAAACCAGAGATGGAGTCGGACACACTTTCACAGATACACACACACACACAAAGCACTTGCTCCTTTGGAAGACACCTTGGCACAATGGGTCCATTTTTTGCATGTGCAAATAGTGCATTAGCATGACAAGAGGAGGAGGAACAACAAGGCATCAACAGCAACATGAGCCTTTTGTAGTAGAGGTTAGCATGCGATTAACCTAGGAGGGAAGCAGTCTTGCTCTGCTGATGAACCGTTGGGCCATTGTATTGCACATCGCTAACAGCAGATGTGAACCCTTTGGACTACATCTAAACATTAACCACAGGACAGATTAGACCTCTGGATGGGGTGCAAATGGAGGAGAGGAGATAGCAGAGCATGAGGAAATCCATACTTAGGAGACTTGGGAGATTATTCTGCAGTATGCAAGATGAACACCAGAATCTATAGTGTTTGCAATAACAGACATTTATTTCCTTGAGAAGAAAGAAAGAATAAATTATTACGAAAAGTTCTTCTAAATGAAGGATTGCAAAACCACTGGGCTCGTAACTCTAGATCTATTGACTTGGCCAGGGGTGTGACTCGTAAGCCTTTTCTTCAAACACACAGCAAGGGCACTGCCTCATTCATTTGAACAGAAGATCTGGACTATTGCAGGGGTCACATGACAAGAAGCTATGTTTTTTTTTTAGACAATTTGAGTCCAGTCCTATAACGCAAAGAATAAATAGTGCATTAGCATGACAAGAGGAGGAGGAACAACAAGGCATCAACGGCAACATGAGCCTTTTGTAGTAGAGGTTAGCATGCGATTAACCTAGGAGGGAAGCAGTCTTGCTCTGCTGATGAACCGTTGGGCCATTGTATTGCACATCGCTAACAGCAGATGTGAACCCTTTGGACTACATCTAAACATTAACCACAGGACAGATTAGACCTCTGGATGGGGTGCAAATGGAGGAGAGGAGATAGCAGAGCATGAGGAAATCCATACTTGGAAGATTTGGTAGGTTATTCTGCAGTATGCAAGACGAACACCACACTGTCATTACAATAGCCACCAGATGTGCAGCTTCAAAAGGGGGAATTGTCTAAATAAAAGCATGTTTTCATTTTGCCAGCTTTGACATCGGAGCGAGAGACGACGCAGAGACGCGCGTATGCTATTTGGTCTGCTGCCTCCTCAGAGCTTTTAAAGTCAAACTGATAAAAACAACAGTGATAGAATCTGCAGAAACGTTTACAAATGTTGGCCTGGTCTGTAACGACTTTGGACAGGTCACTGAAAATCCACGGGAACGGATACGTGCTTGAAGTGTCACCCTAGCGCGGGATATTGCTTGCATTTAAAAATCAACAAAGGTCCATCTATACGCCACACTATCTATTCAAGCATGACGTATAAACAGGGACGGCCGTGGAAATTAATGAGCCCTTCCCCCCCAATTCCTCTGATACGACTGCTCTTCGTTCCCACATGCCTTTCCTCAATCCAGCATGGGAGGAGCACTTCACACTTATTACTCAAACCAGAGATGGATTCGGACACACTTTCACAGATGCACACACACACACACACACACAGCACTTCCTCCTGTGCCGCAGACACCTTGGCACAATGGGTCCATTTTTTGCATGTGTAAATAGTGCATTAGCATGACAAGAGGAGGAGGAACAACAAGGCATCAACGGCAACATGAGCCTTTTGTAGTAGAGGTTAGCATGCGATTAACCTAGGAGGGAAGCAGTCTTGCTCTGCTGATGAACCGTTGGGCCATTGTATTGCACATCGCTAACAGCAGATGTGAACCCTTTGGACTACATCTAAACATTAACCACAGGACAGATTAGACCTCTGGATGGGGTGCAAATGGAGGAGAGGAGATAGCAGAGCATGAGGAAATCCATACTTGGGAGACTTGGGAGATTATTCTGCAGTATGCAAGATGAACACCAGAATCTATAGTGTTTGCAATAACAGACATTTATTTCCTTGAGAAGAAAGAAAGAATAAATTATTACGAAAAGTTCTTCTAAATGAAGGATTGCAAAACCACTGGGCTCGTAACTCTAGATCTATTGACTTGGCCAGGGGTGTGACTCGTAAGCCTTTTCTTCAAACACACAGCAAGGGCACTGCCTCATTCATTTGAACAGAAGATCTGGACTATTGCAGGGGTCACATGACAAGAAGCTATGTTTTTTTTTTAGACAATTTGAGTCCAGTCCTATAACGCAAAGAATGAGACATTTAGGAGACACATCTAATCCAAAGCAAAGGATGGTACATTTTTACTACAGGGTCATCCCTCTCCTCAGGAGTGCAATGGTTACTGGGTAACTCAGCAACTGTCCAGTTTACGGTTCACTCCTTATGTGGTTTGAATGTAGAACCTTTAGGGTTACTCTTTAACCACTACGACAACACAACTTTGTGAAATGTATACTTGTTCATCAAGTATCTTATTTCAAAATAACAAGTGTTTATATTGAGTTGGGCAAATATGAAACTGGGTCACAATTCAGTCAGAAATGATTTTGAAATTATTCATAATTATTTCCAAAAATATGCTGAGGACTGCAACTGGAGAGTTTCTTGAGAAGTCTCAAGAACTGAATTTTTGCATTGGAATTAACATTTGAAAAAAAATATATATATATTTTCATGCTCCTATATTTAGGTTCAGTAATTTTACTTTAACAGCAAAAAAGGGTTATAAGCGAGTTATTGAATGCCTTGTTTTTAAAAATGTCCAATGTTATTTTCATAGGAGCCCGATAAAAATACTTAAGTAAAAGAAAAATCTCAGATGTACTTAGAGGTTTTTGCAATGAGGTCTTAATTTATTATTGATCCAATAAAAAATGGGTAATATGAAGTCTGCAAAGTAACACAAACAAACAGATGTTTGGTAGACTGTCTATTAAACATGCATAACAGATTTGTATACCATGTAGAATTTATTGAACCAAAAATGGCCATCTTTTAAATCAAGGAGGCTTAAAGAATAACAACTACACATTAATAGAATGGAACTCATGATGAACAAATAATCATCAAGACATGCATTAGGGAACACTTCTAAGTTTATTCTCCACAAAATGTAATTATCGGATCGATGCAAAGGAATGCATTTTTGCATGCCTAGTCTCTATTTGATGTTGCAATGGGATTTGGATCCATTCAGCCCAAGAACATTAATGTCAGGCATTGATATCAGGCAGTCAGATTAGCTGGCATTCAGCTTTATCCCAAGTAGCAGTATATATTTATTTAATGCCATGTCAGCATCTAAGGCTATTTTCATGGCAAAAACAATTAAAAAAAATACAAGTATAACAAATACAATAAAAACCAGCAAACAAACAAACAAACAAGTTATATTACACAATATTTTTTACATTAACAAACAATAAAAATTCTAAAACTTTTTCTGCCAAAATTATACTAAATAACTCTTTAAGTGAGTTCACTTCATAAAAGAGTTTTCTACATACATTAAAAGCTGGACAGTCCAATAAAATGTTTTTGACAGAAAGGGGAATCTTGCAGAACATGCATTGAGTAGGGTCTTCCAGCTTCATCCCAAAGGTGTTCATTCAGGTTGATTTCAATGCTCTGTGCAGGTCAATCAAGTTATACAATTCCCCATCTCATTTCTGTATTGGCTATTTTTTGTGCATGTGTGTATAGACGCATTAAAACAGGAAAGGGCCTTGCCTAAACTTTCAAAAAGTCTGAAACATCTTTGTGTTTCCTTTCCATATTCGAGAGCATGAGGACAAAACTGAAATGTGCCTATTTTAAAGAAGTGGTATCCTGTGATGGCTCCACATCACATCCTAAAGCTTCTCAATGTGGTCCATTTTACTCTCAGTTTATCTATGGCTGTGTACTTCAATTTTGGGTGCGGCTGGAATGACTGAATCACAAGTTTGTCCAGGCATTTGGCCATGTACAGTAAACATTCTTGCATATTATCGAGTTTTGGCTGAGAACAAGTTTTCTTTCGGCGTTTCTGTAGGGTGAACGCTCCACTCGAAAAGGAATCACAGTGATGTCTGCGCCACAGCCTGTAACATAAGCAGCAGCTCCTGTCAAATAAATAAAACTAAACCTCAAAGCCAGCATCATGTCTGCGTACAGTTTCCGAGCGCAGTGTGAGAACCACAACACAAC